CCCCCCGGCCCCCAACCCCCACGCAAATTTTTTTTTTTTTGCCTCATCTCTAAACTTTCTTTAGTTTGTGTATGATGCTGGAAAAAACGCTCCTGCAGATACTGCCAAGAATAAGTGATAGGACTGTAAAAGCTCTGATAGACTCTCTTTTCTCACTGAAGGCCACCCACTTCTAAGAAGTCCCTACAACAAGTTATTAAAAAAGTTCTTCTTTCCCCGACTCAGCCCCTTTAGAAAGTTGTGGCAGAGATTTGGTCAGTTTTTTATACAAATTTGACATTAGAGGATTAAGACACTGCTCCTACTCTCTCTGTATGTAAAGCAGTTCTAATTTGCACTTACCTATCAAACTGTTGGGCTTGTTCTCTGACTAGCCCCAAATTTAAACCGTCGATTCCATTGTTCTCAAGTTTGTACAGAGAAGATGGGTCAAAGAACCTGGTGACGCTAACCTCACCCAGTCTTGTAAAATATTTGTTGAACTGTCCAAACGTTTCCCGAATCAGCGAGTGGCCCATCCTGAAAGCGGCTGAGGCTAAGGAATTGAACGTTGTTGCATCCATGTCTGAATCGTAGCCTTTAAAAAATTTGCCTCGCGGCTCCAGCAAAATACCGTTCAGTCTCCGCTTAAAAAAGAAGAAGAAAGGAATGATCAAAAAAGGTTTAAACTTAACAGTCAAGAGGGCCGGATCGCAGCAGAGCGAATTTTGTTTGTATAACAACGTGTAGCGCAAAATGAGTGCGACTGCAAGTTTCAAAAACTTGCCAATTTTTTGCGGATTGCCAAAAATTTCACCAATCTTCAAAGAAGGCAAAGTCCTGCCTCGGAGGCTTCCAAACTTTTGCAACACTAACAATTTTGTGCAGTTTCACCATTAAATTGTCATATTACGCGAAACATCTTTAGATAAGACTACAGCGGAAAATAATTTTCATCGGTTTGTCTAGTTTGGCGAGCGCGATGGAGGAACAAAATCATTTTTTACCTCGTCCATCTGGCATTTTTCACAGTTATTTCAAAGGAAACGAGGAAAATCTTTAAATTCGCTCTAATGCGACCCGGCCCTTAGAAAGCAAGGAGAAATGCGCTGCTTTCGGAACTGATACAGAAGTTCTCTAAATTAACATATATAGTTTATTAATAATGGTATTCTAGTCGCTCGTCTATGTATACATTTGTTACACTGTTACTTTGCTTCCGTTGACTTGTAGTTGTTACTATTGTTTAATTACTTGTACCTCTTGCAATATTGTTGTCAACTATCGTTACTTTTTTTTTCTTTCTTTCCTTCTTAATACAAACACTTGCCCCGCCTCGATTAGTTCTGGAACTAGTTGCGGGGGCAAGCAAATCTTGTAACTGTATATAAGAAAAGTAAAGAAAATTAAAGTCAAGTCAGGTTAAGTTAAGTTATGTTAAGGTTACTTCAAACCTTCGCGGGGCTACATTGGTCGATATTTTTTTGGTCAAGAAAATTTAAGTCCACGAAGCTCAAGTTTGCATACTGTGAACGCTAGGGGTTCTGTTATTTCATTGGCTCGCGGCTTTTCAAGTTGATACATTCCTCTGTGAAGGCGTGACATGTTTATAATTAGATACCCGATTAATTCGCTGGAACGTTTGCTTACCACGTGATCACTAAACAATATAGGAAGCCACTCGTTGTACGTGATGTGCTGAATGTGAGCGATCACGATTTTTCGTGCTTCCTGGAAGAGTCGCTCATCGTTCCATCCTGGGTTAAGACTGTGAAGAAATCGAGCGATTCGATTATGTTCACGTGTAAGAAGGATGTGAATTGTCATCAATGCTGCAAAAAAAGGAAGTAAGAAAATTAAGAGACTATTAATATCATTATCATTATTATTAAGATGTTATCATGCATGAGAGCAACTTGATTATTAAAATTATGTTATTAACCTTTGGAAAGTACAGCATTATCTCCTAAACATCCTTCTGTGGAAGTTAGTTTTTTAATCAACTGTTTTAAAGGAGCTCAACTGACGTTGCCTTAAAATTGTCTAAACACCGAGTCGCGAAATGTTTTAATGCTATTGATTAAGAAAGATTGCGTGACAAGCTCGGCAAAAGAGTGTCTGCGTAGGAGCTTGGTGTTCACTATGATTCAGATCATTTACGCCCGTGAAGTAGGTGCGCCTTAACGAACTGACTACTCATAGCGCGCACAATTCTTTGGTCTTGTTACAAACATGTTAATTTTCAAACAACACATTTTACATATTGTACATACTAGGGTTCTCGTTGTCTCTAAAATCGGCAAAAAGGAAACACGGTTTAACGGAAGGCCTTGGAGATCTGCAAAACGATCCTGGATCAGCTGGTGGAGAGATTGGCATCCTATCGGAGCTAGGCACTGGCAGGGGAACTACTCGTAATAATCCGAGATTTCCCTTGCGGTCTCGGACCGTCTCCGCCTCTTGGCAATTGACGCCATAGATATTTGATCCATCCATGTAGGACGAGACCAGGTTGATCTAGATGAAAAAGAAAAGAATAAAAAAGTTTTGTCCTGGGATACTTGATTATATTATTCATTGCGTCTAGTTCAGATCTTTGGTTTTGTTTTCTCTAGTTGTTTTTTGGTTTTTTTTTTTGGTTTTTTGGTTTTTGGTTGTTGTTTTTGTTGTTGTTTTATCATCTTTTAACTGCTATCGACTAGAACTATTTATTTCAACATACTTCACAAATGAAACTTCTGATACTTTATGATTTAAAATCAAAAACCACTATATATAGTTTTTCGCTCGATTTATACAGTTTATTCAAGCTCTCTATATAGAGGACAAAAGAACCGATGTTCTTCTAGTGACTCCCTGCACCTAATTTGACAATTTTGAAATTTCATATTTTAGTTAAAAAAAAAAAAAGACCCACAATAAAAATACCTGCTCGCCATACTTCTGTGCTGATCTTGAAAGAGGAATGCACTGCGCACTTAGATTGTTCCTCAATCGATCATCAGGGTTTGCCTGTGAGATTGAGATACTGACACATCCGGGGTTGTTAGTGGGGCACGGTTCGTTATTGGTTCCACATCCCTGTGTCTGATTGGACGCAGTCAGCGTGAAGTCATGGTCTATGAATGAACCCCACGCCATGGTCATATGAGTGAAGTTGGGTGCCGCGCCTGCGTTTTCGGACGTGCTCAGAAACACGGTGTTACTGATCGTTCTTGCGTTCTCCAGCAGATAGGGTTGAACCACGGACGCAAATCTAGGATCCTGACCGTTTTGGAAGGCAGGTGGAACAAAACGGACAAACTTTGACCCAGCGGATCCCTGCGCTACGTTGCACAGGTTATTGCAAGAGCCGTCAAACGTGCGATACCAGCGCTTGAAGCACGCTAGTACCTGCTTGAGTGGATCACAGTTCACCTGCTTAAGCGTATCCAATACTAGCTGTGCAGAATTGCTAGAACTCGACTGACGCACTTCGTATACGCCAACAATTATCACAACCCCGAGGAAGAAGCTGAAATAAAGAGAATGATAAGTACTGATTAACACGAGTTAGAAGTTAATTTCACAGGCTCACACTACTCTGACCCGCAGGTGGTGAGTGTGTGCTACGACACAACATAGAAGTGAAATAGAAGAAACACAAATAACACAATTTTTATTGTCATTTTATACACAACCTCGTCATTTAGAGTGGAGTTTCTTGTGTCAAACAGCTATGTTAAAACTAGTTAAAGAACGATGTAAAAGACTATATATTCTATCCCTAGAAGTTCAAGGAATAAAAAACTAAATAATTGCCACTTTACCTTAATCGCTGCATTTTTTCTCTTGAAAGTGCCGCGTTCTACTCTGTTGACCAAAAAAATAAGTTGAAAAAATACTAAGAGTTACTGATAAATACGTTTGAACGAGGCACCCCCCGCCTTCCCCCCCCCCCTCCCTTCTCCTCCTACTTAACTGTCCAAAAATAAAACGGGTCGCTATTCTGCTATTAAAGTTAGTAAGCCAGAAAATGATTACTTTTGAGCTCTACTGAGACGAAATTCACCTCGTATTTTGAAGCCCTTTACAATGACACTTTTAAGTGAAAAGACGAATGATAGCTAGCGATTATAATTATCACGCATGTACGAGAATGATGTGAAAGAGGAAAAAGTTCGGCGATGCCAAACATGATTTTTTAAAACCTTATTTAAAGTTGCTGAACAATTACAATCTTGTAATTAATTTGTTATTTACGTTACACTTAACTCCGTAGATTTTCTTAGTACATGGTTATTGTCAAGCACCGTAAACATGAGCCTCAGTGGTCGACTCTGGCTTGGGAGATTGTGAAAGCACTTCTCGAGTTATTGACAAAAGTAAATTACTCCTTATCGTAGCCATCGAATACAGGAAAATCCTGTAAAATAAAGATATCGTACCCCTACCCCGAAGAGAAAAGACAAGTTACCTGTTCCTTCCACCTGTAAACCTGACTTGAAAATCCTTTGCCAGATTAAAGCGACTCGGCCAACTGCAAATCCGTCCTCTCTGAAACAACCTGTTTGTTTTGGTTTAGGGTGAGGTTTGAGTGGGTTTCTTTTATGCTAGCTTAAGCTCTCATTACCACCTAACTATGTGGCAAAAAATTGTGCTTTGTCACCACAAATAATCAAGAAAAAACAAAACACTTCTGATGAATGTCAAGCAAATATCTGAGTGGTAATGAAGCAATTCGCGGTTTCTATGAACAGGAACTTTGTGGGCACAATTGTCCTGGGCAACGCGGTAGCTTCGAGGACGGTACGCCTGTAATTGTCATGTTTGTACATTGTTTCCGGTAAATCAGTCGCGACCGTGATCACGGCTCACTGGAAACCCTGACATTAGAATAGCTAGCGTCATGATAATACGCAATGCCAGAATCACGTGTTTCGGTGGAAATAATAGATGTGTACGGATGTTTAAGCTTTGCGCCACTTGTTGATTACGACACCGAAGGCTTGGTGTGCGTAACTGACCATATCTGAAATACAGCATACTATTAGTTTTCTAAGCACTCCCTAAGAACTGAATTTACTTAGTTTTGACTTTGATTTTTTAGCTACAGAGGAATCCC